AGAATGTGAAATGTTTTAAATATTTGGGTAGCTTGTTAACAGATGATGGAAGGTGTACTTGTGAAATTAAATCCANTGTATTTTGATATTTTAATGTTGTAATGCTCATCACAACACAAGGCACAATTTCTACAACTTTTATAACATGGACGCGTTGCAGCACAATATGGATTCACACTGAGAATTCAATTAACCTTGTCATATTATATATACACTGCCTGATGATGGACCCATGAGGAGCGAAACATGTAGTGGTAAAGTTGTCCCTATGATCAACGAATTTAGCACTAAGCCATAAAGGCGAATGGGGGAGTTGATGTACAGATCCACATTTTCTTGATCTCGGCACTAGCTCGAGGTTAATTGTCAGCTTCACGCCCTGACCGCTTTAGCCCCGGGGAAAGAGCACCGGCTACCCGTTGGATAGAAGGTTGGGTGGACCCCAGAGCCGGTTTGGACCATTTGGAGAGGAGAAAATTCTTGACCCTGCAGGGACTAGAACTCTGACCCCTCAGTCGCCCAGTCCGCAGCTATCCCGAAACAATAAAATTCAATCTATGAGATATTGATTTGATTGTAAAACTATTTTTTGTTGTGTTGACGGATGCCTTACCTAACCATATACAATACTTAGAGGAAATGGTCAGCTTAAAGTTTCGTTGTAACAAAATGTAATTCATGCATATTTAGGTTATATATAGCACTGATGAATGCCGTCTTCTGGGATGTGGCGCCATGTATATATTGTGTAAACCGACATTTCAGAGGAAAGTATTGCCTCCATTTCAGGGTATAAAAAATCCGCGAGCTAGGAACCAGCTTGAGCAGGTGGCTGCAGGCCAGTCCCCTGAAGATGGAAGCGACACTTTCCTCCGAAATGTCGGTTTAAACAATATCTACATACCGACACATCCCTGAACACGGAAGTCATCGCCATAAGAAAACTGTTGCTATTCTAAAACAACTTATGGCTGCTGCATCATTAAACAAGGAAATGTCAGGAGTTCATTCCACACATTGCATCAATAAGGCAGTTTTATCCTCAGGGTGGACCTCAGGTCCAACTTGACCAAATCAGTGAAAACGTTAACAGACTTGACAACTTTTACTGAACATGTCTCTATGAACACCTTCTACTGTATGTTTTTGAAACGGAAAGAAACGTTCCAGATCTCCATAAACTAGGACACATTTCATAATAAATATACTAAATACATCAACATCAAAATAAGAGTACTATCCATTCTCACAGAATAGACATGATGTACTGAAACAAAAAGACTGCTTGCTTCTTTGTTTGTGACTTTTTTTTTATTGCTAGTGAGGTGGGACTAAGTCCCTTGTACTGTGGCCACTTCTGGCCCATTGTACCAGCTCCAGATGATAGGTGAGGGTGATTGTGGAGCAATTGGTGGAATGAAGATTGGCAGGGGAAACCGAAGTACTCGGAGAAAACCTGCCCCAGCGCCGCTTTGTCCACCACAAATCCCACTTGACCAGAGCCGGGATCGAACCCGGGCCACTGCGGAGGGAAGCCAGTGGCTAACCACTCAAGCTATGGTGCGGCCTCTTGTTTGTGACTTACTACACAATGTATGCTCAGACATGTTAACTCTGGACAATTCATTGCTATAGTAACTTTCATCTCACTGTCACAAAACTTTTCTATATATAATCCTTCCAGCCGCACTGTGGCCCTGGGGTTTACTCAAGACTCTAACAGAAATGAGTACCAGGAATTAATTAAATAATTTTCCTGGGGCTGGTGCATAAGGCTGACAACCTTACTGCTGTCTTTGAGCCGATTGTCTAGTTAATGTGGGAACCTCATTGTCTCACAACCTTATGGGCCTTCACAACCTGGTATAGGGATAGCTTTACTTTTTTTTTTTACCAACAGGCACTGGTTTTCTGTATGTCTATCAAATACCAAAAAGAGCTTAACACAGGACTTTCAAAGGACTGAACTACTGCAGATTTGACATTTATTTGAGCAATNTACCAGCAGGCACTGGTTTTCTGTGTGTCTATCAAATACCAAAAAGAGCTTAACACAGGACAATTAAAATATCCAGAAAGTATACATACATACATAGCATTCCATAGATCCATGAGTTAGTCAGATGACCTACCGGACGTGGAATTTGTCAAAAATCGTACAATACATATATACATGCACAATTCAATTTCACATAAATAGTAAGGATTTCACAAAAGTAGTAAAATATCCATCATAAATCCATACATTAACATATACTAGATTTTTTTTTTCCTGTGTTCCAAACAAGAGAAAACATTACATACACTTTATGTTGTTTGGAAGCATAAATTCCTCAACAGAGTAAAAGGAGTGTGTAATTAAGTATCTCTTTAGTNAATATTAAGTATAATAGTACATGATTGGGCTCCAACTTGCTTAAAAGAGAAAACATTTAACTGAGATCACAACCCATTTCTTGCAAATAGGGAATAAATTTCTCTTCCATATGTGCCCCAACAGAGTTTGCATTCTCATGGTGGGCCCACAATACCACAGCAACCAAAGATCTCCAAACTGTAAACTTTGCTGGATGAATTCAAGCAATTCTGCAGTTTTGAATTTTCTGCTTCCCACATTCAAATAAACACCATGTTTTGTAGTAAGGACACCATCTTCACAAATAATACTGTCAAACTGAACTCCCATACCAACATCAGAACAGATTGCCTTACAAAGAAAAAGAGTCAGTCATTATGTGACGATCGTGTAATGTATGAAACATGCCTATGTGCACTGCACACTCCGCCAGCTTCAGTGCCTTGTTAAGCCTGTTTTCCTTGTGGACAAGAGAAAAAACAACACATCTCTGTCCACTACAACTATATATATGCTTTCTTTCAGAAAGGACAGCTTATTGGACATTGCTATTAAGATCAATAATGAGCAACAAGATATAAAGCCTTCATCAGGAAGTCAGCCAAAAGAGAGAACTATACTCATTTTGGGAAGCAAGGGTGTTGTAAGTGTTGACCATTTGGTTTCCACCATTATTTGTAGATTAAAACTGCAACATAACACATTTGCTCTAATATACACTGCACATACCCTCCCTTGTAACAAATAACTATTGTACTTAGATTTGTATTAAGCAGAGTATCTGCATTTATACTTTGACATCTCTACATCTCTGGCTTAGTCCTATAAAGAAGTGTTTCTCAAATGATGGGATATGTCCCACTGGTAGGATGTGAGGTCTCAAAAGTAATAATTAATTCAGCCACACAAAAACTGTCTGCATTCTACACATAAGCTTGTTATTAATGCTGTATCATAATCATACTTCCACTTACAGAACTAAAACTGAAGGTTTCTGAGGTATAATGATTCTGTGTAGTCTGATAAAAGTCAACTGATGTTACAGAGGCACATGTCATGTCCATTTTCAACCCTCTTCATAATCACTACTGTGAGACCTCAAATCATAAAGAACAAAAATTACTTTATAATATGCTAAATTTGTTACAACCCTCAGATTCTTAAGATCTCCCAATAATAATTAATGTAATACTGAAATGTATATAAGTGTAAATTTTCACTTCATAAAATACAAGTTTTATGCTTATTACTAAGCACTTTACCTGAAATTTTCACTACAATTATTACAAGCTCCTGATGTCATGTTAAGTTCATAAGACTAATATAAGATATCAATTTTCCAACAGCTTATCTTCTGAACTTCTTAATTGGAGACTTACATATTTTTTGAAAGGAAAATTAAAAACCCGACTCATTCTGTCTGCTCATCCACTAATAACAGAGGCCAAACTATCAGACTACAGTAATTCAAAGTCAGCATGATAGATCTACAGTATATCTTGTTAAGCTTCTCTGATTTCACGTTAGTTTGGTGAATAACTAGGACCACTTAATTAATGGAATAAATAAAATTAACTTTTGAGTTTTGCAACAAATGTAAGGTACAGCATTTTGTTATTGTATGTGCAGTACCATTTGTACTTTTACTTTAATTCAGCTGAAGATCCACTTCATAAAACCCTGGATCATATTTTGAAGAAACTCGTTACAAGGCACTTACCTTGTGTAAGCATTATGATGTGCAAGTCATATTCAATTTAATTTATTTTAAAGCATACATTACTTTAGGCACTAAGTAAACTTTTGAGTAATGTAATTATTCATTTGAGAAGAAGTTTCATTTACACATTATACCTTTGTGGGCTATTTTACAATGATATCAATAGCTATACTATATAGCACTAAATGATAGAATGAGCGATTAATGAAAAGCTAGAAAGCATTTAGAAGGATGCTGCTGCAGCTAACAATGAAAAACCTGGCAGAATAGCCAATGTCCTAGCTGAAATTTGAACCTAGCACATCACGAATACAATTCCAAAGATTTACTGCTATACAAACCCACTCAGTTTAAATGTTATAGAGATCCATGAAACACATAATCTATGTCTTATAAAACATCTCCATAAAACCTAGCAATTTTGAGGAATTAGCATAATAAATATAACATGTAATTAGTATTCACCATATATAGTGCTGCCCAACATCCTAGTATCACTATGGTACTCAATTTACAACACACTGTGTTGTACACTGTACACAACAGATAAATGTCATCACAAATAAGCCATCTTTTAGTGTCATGCCAAAAATCTAAAATTGTTATTATCCAGAGTAAGTTATTTTGCAAGTATCAATATTCTGTCAGTGTTACAATAATTATGAACCAGTTAGGAAATGAGTACTTTTCCGGTAGATTTGCTCCCATTGGTTTAATTATTTTGAATGTCGTAGTAAGCATATGGAAAGCATACTGGGGATAAAATACATTGATCTCTTGTGACATATATTCTAAACATTTTCCAATCTGATAAAGATCCATCAAGGTATTGTCATGTGTTCGTGACTAGACATGGGGTTTGGATCATAATTGGATTTATTGAAAACTTGTAACTACAAAGAATTATAACACTACCATTAATCTACATACTTAACAAATCACTATAGCATATACTGTCTCAGATTGTTATAGTCTTCACTAGTCATTGCTCAGTTATGGTTCCTAACAAAGGAGATTCTTCTGCTCTCGTGCTTATGTCCTGCCAGATGGCTACCATCTCACAGCTAACCAATGATGGCAATTCATAGCATCACTAGCCATCTCTGTCTACTCACTGACTCCCAACTGGGTAATTTCTGCTGATGGCCTTGCTATATAGCCTCAGCATGGATGGCACAGAAAAATAGTGCTTCCAGCAGTTCTTCTATTATTGTGTGCATATCCATTGCTGCAGGTATGCATTTATCAAGCTGGTCCCAAGCAACGGCTGTCTTCTTCAGTCATCATGACACAGCATGCTTGAGATGTGAGTATAAATGCTATAGAGTCAGTGTAAACTGTCCATTATATCTGTCCAGTTAAAAAAAAAACTAGAATACTTCTGCAAATTTTAGCTAAGGCCCCCAAAATGAAAATCCACTAAGCAGTTTTTGAATTATTACATCCATACAGATAGATGATGATGATGCTGCTACTGTTGTCTTTTACAGAGAAAAACATCGCTGATACACAGGTTCTTGGATCGAAATGAAGGTGCTAAACAGACTCTTGCTTTGGAATACACTTTTGGAAGAAGAGCTGGGAAAAGTATGGTAAGCAACGAATAACAATGACAAAAATTCACTTAATGATATGCTCAGTTTGGAATTTAGTTTACCAAATCAGAATTTTGTGTGGTCTACAAATATCTTCCACATTCCTTACTCTGAAATATTTTAGTGTGCGTGACTAAGTAGTTGCTTCACAATTCTTAATAACAGAGGGATAAATTATCTAGGCTGGTGTTATTTATTCTAGTATGTCTAAAACAGTTGCCATCTGTAATGAAACAGAATTTCAAAGTCAAGGACAGACCTATTATAAATTGTCGACTGGGGTAGCATTCATACTATTTCCTTTTGAACAAATTATAAGATCTATCACTTTTGAACTGTCTTGATACAATTTATCATTTTGTAACCATTCAGACTCCACTGGCATAATGAGGTCATAAAATAAAATGATATCACACAGACACATGATGACTCTTGAGTGTCAACAAAGCAACACAATCACATTATTCTCTTTCCTTTCTAGTACTTCTTTCTCCCCACAAAAAAGGAGTAATATGTAAGCTATGGTATTTATTCTGTGTCTATTCGTGTTTAATTTTTATCTTCACAGAACTCTCAGAATCTTTTGTCTTCTCATCTACTGTCAAAAACATAAAAATTAGAATATACAGAACTATAATTCTGTCTATGCTCCTTGTATGAGGAGAATATTTTGACCAAAAGGGATGAAGTTGGAGAAGACTGTATAATAAGGAGCTTCATAACTTGTAATATTCAACAAGTATAATTAGAATTATCAAGTCAAGGAGGGTGAGATGGACATGGCACATAGCATGCATAGGGGAGAAGAGAAGAGGGTTTTGATGGGAAAGCCAGAAGCAGAAAGACCACTAGGAAGACCTAGATGTAGGTAAGAGTAACATTAAAATGAATCTTAGTAAAGAGGTAGGATGGGGCGGTATGGACTTGATTGATCTTGCTCAGAATAGGGATCAGTGAAAGGTTCTTGTGAACACAGTAATGAACCTTTGAGTTCCATAAATTGCTGGGGCATTCTTGCATAACTGCACAACTGGCCACTTCTCAAGGACTCAGCTCCATGGAGTTAGTTGGTTAGAACTCTCAGAAATTCAGTCCAAAAGTAACTACTAGAACAAATGGATTGGAGTTGGAAATGGCCTGAAATACTCAGAATATAAAAATGATCACAGACTGATTTAATTTATTTAAACCAAATTTTATAAAGACTTAAAATCTTCATATATTTTAGACCTAATGTATCAGAATTTTGTTAACAATAATTGTTAACTGTTACCTTACATCTATATAAACAGTTACATAATACAAAGGGCATAATATATATATATATATATAAGATGTTTGCTGAAACTATAACAAAATTACATTAACAGCAATAATAGATAAATAAACATCATCAAGCATTTAAAGCATTATTATTTCAACAGACACAATGACATACTTTTTGATACTGCATGAAATGAGTTACCTAAAACAAGATTTCTGAATTCTTTTAACCTGCAGATGATCACTGATCTAATAAAGAACCTAACCGAGACAATCCTAATGTTCTGGGATGTTTTATCATGCTAGATACACCTGATGAAATAGTTGTAACAAACATAAGATATTCTAAGATCTAAAAGTTTTTGATGATGATAAATTGCTACAAGTACTACGTTTTTGGACATTATCCATCGTCTTGTCTATTTTTTAAAAAATATAAACAGGTCATTTTTTTTAAATAGACAAGACAATGGATAATGTCCAAAAACATAGTACTTGTAACAAGATATTCTGTTATGAATGACCATCAGTTAGATGTTGCCTCCTCATTTAAGAGACTAAGGTTGAATCCCACATGATTTCATGTAAGATTTGTGGTACAGGAAGTGGTACTGAAGCAGTTTGCCTCTGAGTTTCTTCAATTTTCCTGTGTTAGTCACCATTCCATATGAGTACCATACTCATTTATTACTGCCTCTGAAGTGTGACATCCCTAGCCACGCAGTACATTATCACAACCTCAGTTTTAAAGTTTGTGACCTGGAATTTGGTTGGTTACAGAGCAACGAAGTTTCTTTTTTATTCTGCTTTGAATTAGGTGAAGGATGTTTGTCACATCTGGGAGCTTGGAGGAGGTACACTGTACCCTACCCTGCTTAGTGCACCACTGGCAGCTGCCTCACATGATTTAAGTCACCTCACTGTGGTCCTGATGTTGGACCTGTCTGCCCCACAGCAGCTATGGTTCACTTTAGAGACTCTGGTTCAGAAACTGCACATGGCTTTGAGACAACAAGCCTCTGTGCTGTCAGGAAGGAATGCAGGAGAGTTCATCGAGAAGCTTCAAGAAGCAGCCTGGAAGAGAGTTGGCAAAGATAATGAGGTAAAAATGATTATCCTATTCATACCTTTGATTTAATGGCTCTAAAGATCTAGGCTCAATGGTGTGCAGAACAACAATACAGAGAGACCCATTTCACATTCTCAATTAATAAATCTCCATCTGGATCAGAGGCATAATGGATAACCACTCAATAACACTCACTACTACATCGAGGTTAAGCAATATTGAGTTCTGGGATGAGTCACCACTTAATTCCTCCCATTACTCTCCTGTTAATCATCTTCTGGTGCTGGAGACTAGTCTGCTAGATCTGCATGCATCTGGGCCGTTGTGTTGCCTTTTCAGGTTTCAAGATCCTGATGTTGAAGAGAATATCTAGACCTAGAACAGATGAAATAAAAGGAGGGTGGAGGTTTGTAATTTATACCAAATACTATGAATGGCCAAATCAAGGAAGATGTGATATGTAGCATCTGTAACATATATGGGAGAGATAAGAAACATACACTATATTTTAGTTGAAAACTCAAACAAAAGAACCTAATTTGGATACCTAAGATTCCTGTGATAAGTTCCTGTGAACACTGAATTGAATTGCCAGGTTCCATTAATGCATGGATGAATGTAATCTGGATGCTAACTTTTTGTTCCAGGACAAAGAGTACATGGATCCCTTTCCAGTCTCGTTTGTTATTTTGGGAGGAAAGTATGACATATTTCAGGTACGTCCATAACAGTGCTCAGAACAGCCAAAGAAAGAACATGAGTGGTGGAAATTTAAGTAACCTGTCTGCTCTACCATGCTACATGCATTGCACATTTCCTTTCCACTAGTGTCAATAACTAGCCAAGGATACAAAGAGGACAGTGAGAACACAACTGACAGTTGGTGCGAGTAGTGAAAGACATGCAGATAGGAGGTATCTGGTATTGACAACTTTTTGTGTTATATCTACTTCCTGCATTTTGAGTTTTGTTGATTATCAATCATGTTGGTAACTCAAAATATGTTGCATTGAATGAAGAAGGAATCAAGAGAAATATTTTATCACACAGTATGATAAGAAATCAATTACGTTCGATTACACATACCACACTGAAATATAACAACATACAGTGAGAAATTAAAGTGCACATTATTATATACAAGTACCATGTACATTAATTCACAGACATGTTCATTTTGGCATGAACTTGATCTGACCACAAACATGAAAAAAATTGGAAATTATTTTCTTCTCTACAGGAAAAAGTTGATGCACCAGCCCATCTTACTTTTTTTCTGACTATCTTCCCATGGACAAGTAGAAACCTGACAACCACTGTTAGATTAGAGTCTAAAAAATTCATAATTACAAAGGCCAGTGACACAGCACTTGTGGTTTTGTTAACCTGCTGCAATATTAATCAGCCTTAAAATATGACAGAAACAAAACTGTAGAATTCATATAATAGTTCTGAATAATAATGGCTTATTTTGAGGGATTACTGTAATACATTCACTCCTCCATACACCTTCATGGTGTAGTGCTTAATCAGTTAAGCACAGGGAGAGCTTTACCTTAAGGACCTTAAGTTACCTTAACTTACCTTTCCCCCCCCCCTCCATTTCATGCATCCTGTTGTGTTATAATATGCAATTTCTTTATTAAAACCGTCACAACACAACTATATTAAGGTCAGTGCCAAGTCTCGCTCTGCTACATGTTTCGGCTATTAGAAGCCATCATCAGGCAAATACATGGCTAACATATATACACCACTGAACTTCAGTACTAGTAAAACTGGATACAATAATATTAATTATATTAAAATACTTGGCATAAAAATACAATAAATTAGACTATATAAAACAAAAGTTATAGTATTAAACAAGGATAAAATTCTTCGAGTGATGCTTTACATCAAGTCAATTGTTGGTTTTTGTGATTTTGTTGTGTTCCCATGGACAAATTGGAGTATTCTATATTTTGTGTATATCTAGTAAACTGTTTTGGAGGCTCATGATGTAGATGTAGTAATATTAATGTTAATTATTTAGTCGATGCCTCATCTTACAAAATTATTGTCCGTTCCACAGGGAATGTGAACAAGTCGTTGTTTGTATGTATTTGTGTGTTCAGCTTTTACATATTTACACATTGCAATGACATTTAATCTTGCTATAGGACTTTGATTCTGAGAAAAAGAAAGTGGTATGTCGCTGTTTGCGATATGTAGCACATACACTGGGGGCCACTCTGCAGTTTTACAGCTTAAAGGATTCTGGACTTGTCAAGAAAGCAAAAGACTTACTGAATCACCATGGATTTGGAGGACCTCCAGTGTAAGTAACATCTAACATGTCAGCTCCTGCATACCTGTACCGAACATTCTGCTGTTAATCAAGTGAAAGCTTCTTACGAGTATACTTATGGAACTCATTTAAGGTTCATATAAAACATTTAACAATTCTATCACTAAATGGTACACATGTAGAATTCTAGATTCTCACAGTGGTGGTTATGAAGAGGATAAAATGCCATAAAGTTCACTAAAAGTCATGCAGAGCTTGGTATCTGCCGGCTCCTTGCTTGCCTTATTCTTTGATCCTGAAGACGGATGTGACAAGTACCTCCAAAATGTCTGTCAATTTTTAATGGATTGCATGGTGTGACATCCCAGAACACAAAACTCTTCCAATTGTATTCAGTTGGTTTCCTTATTTTGGCCATGGATTTTAACTCACTGCTCCTTTTAATGTCGTAAAATTAAGAGCCCTGCCTCTTCTGACATAGTAAGAGCAAATTTAAAATTTAAATGTCTGAAAACATTTGGGCTGAAAGCATCACATACTAAGGTATTTTAAATAAAATGAGCAAGGGGTACTTGCAATGTAAATGATAACAAAAAATCATTGTCAGTCTGTGAGATTTGGTACAAATATTACGTTTTTGGACATTATCCATTGTTTTGTCTTTATCTAAAAACTGTCCTGTTTATTTTTCAAAACAATATTTCGGAGACTGGGTTCTGTCTCTGTCTTCAGGTAAAACATACTCAGTTGGGCCCAACTGATAAAGCTAGTCCCTATCTCTGGACACCTGTGCCAGCTTCAGGAAGGGGTACATAAATCAAACACAGCACAAGCCATCTGTGAGAGCTAAGAAAACATTAAATTATTGAAACACCACACATATGAAGCCTTGCACCAGAGAAATATCTCGATTGAAATCATTGTTGGAGAAGAAGCAATACTTTTTATGCTACCAACACAAGAAAAACAAATTTTTTCCCACTCCAACTACGGATGGGAGAGATGTCCAAACTGGGTTGACCGAGCGGATGTATATATTCTAGGCAAATATTTTCATTATGTGCAGAATTTCAAATAATTTATCCTTTTACTACTTCTACATGTCAGTGTGTAAAGTGTGGCACTGATACAATTTAAGAGCATGGAGGGCTAAATGAGATCCATTTCAGCCAACTATTCATAGTTCCTGCAGATTTTTGTAGCTACGTGGCATCAGAGTCACTGTCATACTTTGCAATCATAACCAAATAAATATCGTTGCCAAACCTCCCACAGCAAGGACACATAAATTTGTTTCTTTCAGCAAAAGCATATCCCAAGACTATAACAAACCACTGCTGATACCTGCTGGTTCAGATTCAATGCAACAGATTGGAGGTTTAGGAGCATCACGAACAGGAACCATCAGTAAAGGACCTGGAGCTGCTATTGACAGATGGAAGCATACATTCACCACTCATTTTCCGCAGGTTATTATACTTTACAAGTACTCAGTATTAATTAACAGACCACATTAGTGCAACCCAATCATGTTAATTTGTTTACTGCGCAACAATCCATTATTTGTGGTTGTATGTCATTATTACTTTAGTGAATAGTGTAGAGATGATGTTAAGAAGGCATAAAAAGCTTAATAGTAAATACTAACTACATGGAAACAAAACCTAGATGAACATATGAGGAAACATTTGCTCTTACCCTTATGGTACTCTGAAGTAAATGACTTTTAATTTAAACCATGTTCATCACATTAAGAGAAAAGTTGCAGTAAGGAATCATTAAGATTATGGTCTTCTGAGATGCGTTTCCGTGTAGTCTGGTAAAGAGGTACCAGCAATCTTCAAAGAACCTGGTGCTTCCATTTCAGCACACAGGAAGACTGGAAGACTGAGGTCATAGTTTCCTCCAAAATGCAGGTATACTCATATATCTACCGGACTACACAGTATTACATCTCATAAGACTGTAAGCATATCCATATTACAAATCATAATAGCATACAAAATCAAGGACAAACTCAATGAACAGATTATTTAATTTAACAAATTATTAATTATGAGGTATAAACTGTCTGCATTAAAACATAAGATTATGTTCTCTATTCTAAGAATCATTAACAGCAGCCAGAAGTTTGCTAATACTTGACATTTTTCTCCTAATGGCAGCTCTAATTAACTGATATTTGTCATATATACAAATTGTTTACTTGTTTTTAGATATGACTTCCTGACTACCTGTTATTCCACTATAAGAAACTAAAAGACTGCATGATTTCACTTAGAAGAACACCCCTTGCTGGCAGACATCACTAGTTAGGACTGTTTTATCTTCATTACTTTAACCACATATTTTAAGCTAAGAAAGAATAAATTTAAACTATGAAGAAAGCAGTCTTCTGGGATTTGGCACCGTGTATATGTGGTGTTAACCGACGTTTCGGAGGAACGTATCGCCTCCATCTTCAGGGTAGAAGAAAAAATATATAAGAAATCTGCAAGCAAAGAGACCGTGAGAACCGGTAAAAGCAGACTGTGGAAAAATACCGTGTCACAGTCTCTTTGCTTGCAGATTTCTTATATATTTTTTCTTCTACCCTGAAGATGGAGGCGATACGTTCCTCCGAAACGTCGGTTAACACCACATATACACGGTGCCAAATCCCAGAAGACTGCTTTCTTCATAGTCACCGCCGTGAAAGCCACAAATCTTACAAATTTAAACTACTTTCTAAATTCATATTCTTTCCCATATAATGAAAAGAAATGTTAGTACTTTTACAAATAAAATTATTGATGCAGACATAAGATTTTGCATTCAGTTCATAGTTATTATGGGTTGTGCCACTCATTCCTTGGTTCGAGGTCTTCCTTCAGCAGCTGATGGTTGCTCAGCCAGAGGAGAAAGTGTCTGCTTTTATTGAACCCAAAGCCTGCCACTGGACCGTACACTGAATTAATTAGATCCAGTTCAAACCAAATGTTGGAAAAAGAATATTAAAAATGTTTCACATGCTATATGCTCTTGTGTTCCATATGCTTACATTTTAGTTCTCCTTGCCTGAGCAAATACTGCATAATCCATTAATATTCCTGAATGTAAACTTGTAACTTAAACACAAAATGCATACAAACTGCATCAGGGAAAGGTGATTTCAATCAATTCAGTATGAGAGTTTCAGAACAGCATATAATACTATAATAATGCAGATTCTTCTGATTTTGGCATGAATATGAAATACTGTAGCAGCTCTATGAAGTGGAGATGTTGGAAGGATAAAAATTTCTAATACACTCTACAAGAAGTGTATCTGCCTGTAAATATCCACAGTTGATAACAATGTACATTTCAGGTTAATGACATCTGACATATAATGAGGGCAAAGTCTGTTTTAACTAAAAAATTTTATTTTTATTAAACAGGAAACATCAGAAAAATCTGTAATGCCTGATGATCCTGCTAAAGATCTCAATTTTCAAGAGCCAATCATCGATTCCCTAAGAGCACAGAAGGATGATGTAAGCAAAAATTTTAGCTTATAAAGAAAAAATACTTCATTTAAGATGACCTGTATTTGTAATCTCACTCAGCCCACAGAATTTATTATTATTTTTTCAGGAACTGGAAAGGTATCGTCAGGTAGCTGAAAGAAGACGTCATTTCAAAAATGATACTGATGACATATAATAGAACTTCTACAGTGATGTATTAATTTTATGTATAAGACACAGTTTTCCTATGGTGTGGTGACCTCAGAGCTTCTTGCAGATGACTGAGCTACACAGGCGGAAGAAATTGATGCTTCTCCTGCAGAACTGCAGTGCAGAGGCACAGACTGCTAGCGAATTCACAAATCAAACTTCAGATTACAGCACATGCTTGAAATACTTTTATGCATGCATTCCTAATGGGCCCAACTGAGGAGGTCTATCATGCCCCATCCACCTGAGGATGGAGACAGACAAGTCTCTTAAAACGTTGTGGTTTTTTGTCTTATATATACCAGACTATAGATAAAGACCAAAATAAGCCTTATACACGTAGTTCTGTACACCATACACAATTGTTAGAATCCTTTCAAGTCTATAGTAATGAAAGTTCAGGTTTCATATAAAATAGAGGATTTCTTAACTAGCTGAGTTATTAATAGCTTTAAAGAAGGGCCTTGCTCCACAAAATTACAAGTACTACTTTACTTGGATGAACACATAATAAACATTAAAGATGTTACATGTTGGTGTGAAGGGTGATTACAAATGATCTAAAAACAAACTGAAAATCAGAACAGAGTAACACAGAATTACTGGACACTTTTTTTTTGGTGTCCTACTGAAGTTCACCATGTTTTTCAACAGTGACTCTTCAAACAGCAGTGTTCTGTTTCTTGCTGGGAATTTTGTGGCATATCATTAACTCTTCCAACATTTCCTATTCTTTCCTTCAAAGACTCCAAGCTTCTGACAGTGACAACAAAAATTTCATTCTTCAAACATCCTCATGTTTATGTTACCCATAGCTGTAAGTGTGGGAGTTGGGATAGCTCAGTCAAATAATGATGGGCTACAGGCTGAACGGCCCAACTTCGAATTCTGGCAAGGCAAGATCTTCTCTTCTCTACAGCATCCAGATGAGCTCTGGAGCCCACCAGCCTCTTGTTCAACAGGTACTGAGGTTCGCTCATTTGTGGTAAATGTGCTGGGTCATGAATCTGACCACTCACTTCTGTCTAGTGCCAAGGTCAAGAATGGTAGAGCTATACATCCACTCCCCCATATGTCTTCACGGCATAGTGCTTAATTAATTCAGCACAGGGGCAAATTTATCTTTTTTAGAGCTCTAGGTGTTTTCAAATAAACACCTTGCCACATTTATGTGCATATTTTTTTTTTAAATATCACCTAATCAGAGCAGAACAAATTTATGTCTCATGATTTCAGAATGTTATAAAGCATACTTATTTAAGTTCTTAAGTACTACACGCAGAATATGATTTTATGGAATTCTAAATGCCTAGGCATTATATGATATGTGATGATGAGAATGACAATAAAAATAATAATCATCTATCACATATTTACAATAACAACATAAACAAATTCCCAACATAAGTAAGACTTGTGTGAGATCAGCACCATAATATAAGCTGCCATTTTATTCTTGGTTTACAAATTTATAATACCTAAGCATAATATTGATAACACAAAAACCACAGGACTGAAAGTCTATGCAACAGAAAAATAGGCTTTGAGTTCTTTTTGGAACTCCTTGTTAGGACAAGTACGCCTGTAGTCTTATAGCATATTTCATGCACCCACCGAACATTCTTGATAATTTGCAAATTATAACTTTTAGTTAATTACAGCCCTGTTATACATACTGGACATAGTAACATAAATGCATTAAACAATGCTAAGATGTGAGGTTCACACAGCAGTGAATATTGAGATTACAGTTCCAGAGGATGTGAAATCATGTAGCTTACTAGACAGGTACCAAGAATTTGGAGGAACTTGTTGCTTTCATCTGCATGGTAGGAGAAGTCTTCTGCCTATCAGATTTTACAGAATTACAACCCCAAAAATCTGTAATATTAGTGTCATGCTTAAATTACAGCTTAAGCAAATGTGAGCTTTCTGGCTTGGTCCACTTCAAAGAAAAGTTCACCCACTTTATATACATAAAGCTGTAGGTAATCTAAATTATTATACAGCTACAGTGTAATTTCACTTAAAGCTTTCACTTACTTTAATATGCATTAGAAGACTGGAAGCTTAGGAAAAGAAGAATTGTATTAATATCAAATATGGTTTGAACATATTACACTGTCTTTGCCAGTTCATACTTACATACTAATACATAATTTTGCTTGAAATGCTGCTTTCTTGCTCCATTTTTTGGTGTATCAGTTTTGACAGAAATCCAATAAGCTATAATAGTTTTGATCACTGAAAACCTTATTCAAAGAAACCATTCCTAATACAGGCTGCTGCTCATGAAACGCTGTAAATAAAAAACTGCAACAACAGTACTGTATGACCAAATTTTTCTGTTGTGCAGTCATGCTTCACCTCCATGTGACTGAAGTGAAACACAGAGCAACCCAGATAAAACTTTGCTTGTTCTATCTTGGTGTCAATACTAGGCAGGGTACCACTTTGACACAGACATTACTGAACCAATCAGCAAACACAAAAGAAATTAAGAAAATGTTACACATGTACATTTGAGCAACACTATCTATTCATGTAGGATCAGACATAGCTAAAAGCAAAATGGTATGGGTTTTTCTCTCTTGATGCAGTATTTTACTTGGCTAAATCCTGGCACTGATTTATACACATTCTCTTCTATTTTTAGCAAATTTCTGTAAATGTTCATTCACACAGTCAGTTGCATTCACCTATTAGCAGTTTTAGTGTGGTATATTTTTTATAACACTGTGCCCACCTTTAGGTACTTACTTGATATTTCTTTTGAGCTGGTACATTATTAATGCTTACATTCCACTATTTTTCATTAAGTTACATGTGTAAATACATTTAAAGTTGAGAGTTAAAATCCAGATTTTAATCTCTGAGACTGAATTAATTTTTACTTATGTCCATGATGTAGTTGTCTTTTTCTTGTGTTTATTAGCTGAAATGTATGTGTTAATTTCTTCATTCCATTCCAGTATGGAAGTGTCTATCATAATACATGTACTTTATTTCCATGTAGTATTTTTTGGTTGATGGATGAACAGTATAAAAAAATTAATACACATCATTATACACTTAAGCTGATAAACTTAACAGGTATTTGTGTAACATTAAAGTGTATTAATTTCATCAACCCCTGTGAGATTAAAATTTAGATTTTAACTCTCAACTTTAATTTTAACTGCTCTGTTAACTTCAATGAAAGAAAATGCAACACATACACAACAGTTTACCAGATCATAGATAATATAAATAAAGCACCTCATGATGGCCATGGTGTTGAACACGACGTACTGTACTAATAGTATCGATAAGTGAAAGTGACAGTTTGGATAAAAATCACACAGCCTCAGAAAATTATCAGAAAGTTGTAAAATGTGTAAAATGTTGGAGGGGAGGAATGAAATAATACTGATTTATCACTTCACAAAGGAATGCTAAAATATAATATTATTCTATCTTCTGTTGACAACTATTTAATATTTTTGTTGCTCATTCCTTACACATTGAATGCACCTAAAGCGACCTCCAATTTCTTTCACCACAGGGTTCTTAAACTTCTCTACACCCTCCACTGACTACTTACTGTGACTGTGCATCAACTTTGTAGTCTGATATATCAGATAGCATAGTAACATAATCTGTGAACTTAGCCAATATATAATAGGTAAAAAAAAATTTGAATCATTGTTTAGAAGTTTTGTTTATATATCACATGCACTGCAAATATTTCAATATCACCACACCAGAATGACGGGAATCACATTCAACACTTACTTTCAAGTTGATACACAACACTAACACTTCCATACAGGTTGAGAAGGAATGAAGAGGGAATGATTCCAGATAACACCGTAAATGGAGGATAGAATTCATTATTAGTGCTAATACTGACAGTAATTTCTTTAACATCAATCTATCTGTTAATTTGGTTAATATGTAGTTATTCATGTCTTGTTACATTCACTGTTATTATAAAGTTATGCTTGTCCTGCATCTATTATGCATCAGAATACTTGTCTTACATCTCCGTATTGTTTTCCTTTACTTTTTGTCTGATCGTGCTAACTCGGCAATTGGTCTCTGTAACTGCTGAATTAGCACTTTAAAATACAGAAACTGAACTGAATTATACTTATATGAAACCCACAATTCACTGTTTCTGTCAGCAGTTTAAACGTTTATTTTTTATGAAACTACATTAAGTGGCATAAGTGTGAATTATGACTACAAAGCTTTTGCTTCAAATGGAACCTAAGAAGGATGGGGTGACCAGACATCTTAAGTTTAATGGATTGGCACATTGCTCAACAACAATTTTCCAAATGTTTTCGGTTCCAAATTGTATAAAATACTATAAAAGGACATAAAATAGGGCATACGTACCAAATACTGGGGTGTAGTGGTTAGTGTTCTCACTTTGTAGTCAACTTGGCAAGTCTCATACAGTGAAATCCTGGCAGACTCTGAACTTATGAAAATTTCTCAGAGGGGTTTTATTTTGATATATGAGGTGCTATCAGACGTTCCCAAACTGTCACTGTTGTAACTGCCTTGGTGAAAAAAACATGAGAAGGATGGCCACAGTCACATTTCCACAAGCCTATTGCATCAGCCTGCCATGTGACCCAGTGAAGTGAACACACACTGTTTCCACACAAGTGCTTTCATGACTTTGTGTCTTGTTTTGTCTGCAATGGATAGCAAACTCAAGAACTGTGTCTACATAAAGATTTGTGTGACGCTCAGTGACTTTGTGTCTTGTTTTGTCTGCAATGGATAGCAAACTCAAGAACTGTGTCTACATAAAGATTTGTGTGAAGCTCAGTAAATCTGCTACCGAAGCCCTTGAAATGTTTTGTGAGGCTACTGGAGAATATTCTTTACACAGACAGTGGTTTTGAATGGCATTCACGTTTCAAGGCCAGTCGAGTGTTAGTTGAAGATGACAAATGTTCAGGGTGACAAAGCACCAGCAAAATGACAGAAAATGTTGAAAAAATTCCAGAACGCATCCATGAAGACTGTTGCTGGACAATCTATGAGCTCGCAGGCACCACTGGGATCAGTTATGCAGTTTCCCAGGAGATCTTAAAAAAAATCTAAACACGCGCCAAACTGACGCAAAGTTTGTTTCCCTGACTCTTGACAAATGTTCAAAAGCAGCAGCGCATAAATGTGTGTCTTAAGCTATAGAGAAGCTAACGAGAACCCAACTTTTGTCTCTAGGATCATAACAGGTGACGAAAGTTGGATTTATAGTCATGGTCCAGAAATAAAACAACAATCATCGCAGTGGAAGAGCCCACATTCACCAAGAGCAAAATAGCATGGCAGATCCACAGCTCAACAAACAGCATTCTCATCGTTCTTTTTTCAACATGAAGGGGATTGTTCACTGTGAATTTGTTCCACCTAACACTACGGTCAACTCTGACTTTGGCGCAACCACAACTGGTACTTTCATCATGACAACGTGCCCGCCCACACATCCCTGAAAACCACAGAACTTGTGACTAAAAACATGGTTATCATTCCCCATCCTCCCTACTCATCGGACTTAGCCCCCTGATTTCGCTTTTTTTTTTCTCAAATTGAAATGAAACTGAAGGGAGAATGTTTTTAAACAATGTGTTATATCCAAAGGGAATCACAAGCGGTACTCAACAGCATTACGCATACAGCTGTACACATTCCCAAGGAGACTATTTTGAAAGAGATGGCAGCCAAAACTGAATTAAGCCAGCATTTCTCTTTTGGCCTAGTCTGGGAACTTTCCAATACATCTCATACTTAATGATGACATCAGTAACTCAGTCGGGGAAAACAAAATATAAGGCTATGCACATTTAGATATACAGCATGTACATGTACTTGGGAGGGGGTATATATTATCACAGAAACATATTAAGGAACTTCATGAGATGATTTTAACGTGGCAGAGAACGGGCAGAATCTGTTGAAGAAGAGCACATGGAGACTGTTCCTTCCATACTGCAGTTTCTGAATGAGAATCTACTGCAAGGCAAACACTTTCATAGCAATCATCATGGGCCATCTTCACTATTAAAATCACAAAAATACTGAGAACAGTTTTCTTTCACAGGAAACGTTTTTTACATCTCTTTAATGCCTTCCTTATGATCCACTTGTCATTACTATCTGTGATACAACTCTCATTAGAATCATTATGCTCACATAATGTGCCCTCTTCACATATATGTTTGCATATTGTATTCATATTGGTAGGTGTACAAGGCTACATCTGATGTGCAATTCTCCAAAATGAGAAATGTTTGTGTAGGTAATTTCTAATAACAGTCTAAAGCAAGAACAATGAGTGGCTGTATGAAATTTATATTTAGCTTTTGGATTGATGGTGATAACTAAAGAGACATTGGAACTAGGCATGTGAAATTTTGTACAGAGATTAGTCATAAATAGGACTACAACTACACCACTATATTATTAATTCCTTCCTTTCATGTCAAACATCACAAACATGGTGGTGGTGGAAGTCTCTGATGTATCAGACAAATTTAGCATGGTCAGAATTTGTACTTATGAAATATATGCACAGAAATGGATCTCTAAATAATGTAATTAATTTATGAGACTCTATAAGTGTTCATGGCAGTGGCCAATCTCATTTACATTTTTGGGTGAAGACAGATAATATAGTAGGCATATTCATAAGCATTTCAGAGAACTTGCCTACCTTCATCTTCAAGGTAATTATTCAAACACAGGAGCAACATTAATTTACACTTCCTCACCTCACTGAATGAAATATCTGAAGAAAGAAGGCATCATAAGATCTTCTAAGAACTTACTTACCACTGTATATAAGAACCGATTCCTAGGACTACAAAATAAACCAGTCATCACATGAGAATTAACAACAGAAGCCACATGAAAAGAGAATTAGGAACAAATATGCAACATATGCAATCATAGTTTACTGTAAACATTTTTGAGTTTGGGACATGTCTAGCACCTTGTCTCTTTTGGTCTCACTATGTGTACATATTAATCAGTGATAAGTTCTTTCCATACATTATAATAAAACTGCAAGGAATCATCAAGCACGTCCCAGTGTATAGTCTTCAGGACTGTACCCTGTACTTACACAGAACTTGTATGAACATATCCTGAGATAATGCAATGCAAGTAACAATAAAGATAGGCGAAAAGAAAAATATACAGCATACAAGATGTGAAAGTCTGTGGTACAAGAAGAAATCACACAAAGTATGAATTCAGTAATGATGGAATAAAATTCAAAAGTGCTGGAGCCTAATGGTATTCATTACTAGTGAAAGATGATTTCAAATACATTTTAATTTCAAAATGTCTGAGTTCCATTCCACCACAGCATAGTTCATACCCAGGGAAAACATAATTTCAAAAGGTACAGAAATTTCTTTCTTATTCACAGACAATGAAATATGACATAATAGATCTGAGATATTCATGGTCCTGAAGATTCATATTGTGGCCTTCTGTGTTAAGGCAATGTGTAATCTGGTAAGTAAGTAATAACACTGACACCACCTACCAGAATACAGTGTTATGACATAAAAGATCACAATATGCTTGAAAAAAAATGCCACTATCTTTCAGTACAATGACATTCCCTTCTTTATACTTTCTTAAACAGTTAATGGAATAATTACATTTTGAGCTTTGCTCAATTCTTGCATTTCTCTTTTTTTTAGTGATAAGCTTAAAACCATGACTGTGAGGAAGTGAAGTATATATAACTGTTTCAAACGTTTAAGACACAGTACATGTCTGTCAACGTATGAGCATGAAATTCAAAAGCACCTTTCCATTAATAATTTTTAAAAATAACAAATACAATCAATACCTATAACTGTTCTATTCAAGTATTTCTATTTTTGTGCTTAAACACTGTCTGCTGCTTTGTATTAAGTTATTTAGTATGTGTATACATGGGGATAATTTTAATATCATTTAAACAGAAAAGGATTAACACCCAACACCAACACTGTCAATTTAAAACACATGTACTCAAACATTCGTCTTCCAGAATTTGTCAAACTGCTCATATACGCCTTCTGCTAAAGCAACTATACACTTACTTACATACATACATACATACATACACTGGCAATGGTAGATGGCAAATAACAACTGGTTAAGTACTAAACTGAATGTTAATTCCTGAAGAACAAAGTAATTTCATTTTGTGCTTCATCAGCTTCACATTCTCCACCAGCAGAGCATACTCATTCTTGAAAGAAAATTTAACTTGGGAATGGCCTCTAAAATATGCCCTTTATATATTTTCTTTATAATTAAGTAACACAGCATTATTAAAAATATCTTGTTAAATGCACCAGAGTGGTAATCACATGTGATAGCATACAAGCATAGGATCAATTGATGTACTGTATCCTGCAATGTGCTCACTTGCAATGAGCTAGTAAAGCACTGCAATGACAATAATTCACATGTATGTGATCTGTCTAAAATCTACACAGTGATACTGAACACGGAAACTTTAGCTATCTTCATCTGTCACTTCAACTGTCAGGTAGGAATCCATTCTGACACCACGGACATGAATTCTATCAACATATTCTTGTTATAATATGTTTACTCTGATATCAATGGACATATAAATATTAGAATATAATCACTGTGCTCCTCATTAGTAACTTTCAGCAGATATATCGTTGAATTTTCTATAACTGACTCATCCTATAGCAACTACTATTATATACCACTTTTGCTGCAGATGTTACTCATCTGCATGTTTTTAATATAAACATGTAATCTAACATACAATATCAGGAAAATTGAAAATGCTTTCACTGCTGTATGAATATGTTGTATATATTTTAACACAGAAGATATTTTACACATTACTTCAGCTAGAAGATTTATTTAAAAAGAAAAAAGGAAAATAGGGAAACAAACAAAAACTGTACTCTGTCTCTGTAATATGTATATGTAATATATATATCTCTCTACCAGATTTACTTATATGTTAACAGAATTCATGTTCCCTGTGAGTGCCTATATTTTAAATACACAAAAGCAACACAGTATACAAAAATCTTCAATGTTGATTATGGAACATAGGTCCAACTTTTCTATTTGTAACCACCTCAATTTATCACATATGCACTTCAAAAGTCTTTACAGCTGTAGCAGAAATAAAAGGATTGGTGCTATTTCCTGTCACTGACTGGCCAGCCTGTTGATGATTTCTGGCAGCTATCGCTGCCCACTCTGCATCAAATGGGTCATGTGTGGCAGGCACCTGACCATTAGCATTGTGAGCACTTGCCCACATGGGCTGTTGTTGCTGCATGCCATTCATGTACTGTGAAGGGACTGCAGAACCAGAATGGTGCATCAGGAATGTTTCTGCAGAGCCTAATGAATGGGCACGGAGATGCTGAGAAAGATGTGGTGCTCGTCTTGGAGAAGGAGCAGGAGAAGGTGGCAGGGCTGGCTGAGTACCTGCACTAGCTGCAGTAGTTGAGGTAACGATGTTCCCCAACCATTGATCTGGTCTTGGAAGCTCACTACTTGCAATAACAGTTGTGATGGAAGCAGGCGTACCCGAATACCTACAAAATTAAATACATGTTATATGGCACAAATAAAGCTAGTAAGAGGGAGTTAGAGGGCTTATTTGGTTGGAAAATTTCAAAGGAAGATAATTTTAAAATGGATTACAAAGGAACAGGATGTGAGGTTGTGAACTGGATTAATCTGGTTCAAGATTGAGTTCAGTGGCAGGCACTTATGAACATGGTAATGAAAATTTTGAGTTCTATGGGACACAGTGAATATGACTAGCCAGCAACTATCAGGCCTGCTCCATGGAATGAGTTAGACATGGCCCAAGATACAGATCTCATTAAATACAAAAGGTCTAAAACATTTTGACCTTTAATAATTCAGAAAATAAAGAAGATAGAAATAAACTGGTTACATTGTTGATTGAGAAACTCAAAAAGTTTTGTGTCTATTGTTAATAAAGTTGTACATGTGCTCTATTTGTTGCACATGAAATATCAAGACAACATTCAATTTCTTGCCAGGTTCGGGCAAGCATACCAACATCCACAGTGGTTATTGTGTCTCTTACTCTGGTTTTTAATTGATCAATGTCTCTCACCTGCATCTTATAAACAATGTCTTTGACATATCCCCAGAGGAAAAAGTCCAGTTGGGTTATGTCAGGGGATTTTGGGGGCCAAGAAATTGGACCACCTCGTCCAATCCATCTTCCTGGAAAATATTTGTCCAAAGCATCACAAACTATGATGCTCCAATGAGGTAGCGCACCGTCTTGTTGGAAAATGATTTCGGGCTGAACTGCTTCAATTTGCGGGAATACAAAATTCTACAACATGTCTAGGTAAATGACTGATATGACTGTCTTTTCCGCGAAAAAGAGAGGCCCAATGACTCGATCATGCATAAGAGCACACCACACATTCACTTTTTGGGAGTCTCTTGCCATTTCACGGTATTCAAGAGAGTTCTCTGATCCCCAAATGCATACGTTATGCCGACTGACTGTTCCAGAAATGTGGAAGCAAGCTTCATCAGAGAACAATATGGTTGCAAGAAATCTTTCATCATCATCATCCTCTATTCTTTGTAACATATCTGTTGCAAAATCCGTTCTCTTTGGCTTATCATGTGGTTCAATAGCTTGCACAAGTTGCATCATATAAGCATACAGCCATAATTTCTTCCATAGAACCTTGTGTACTGTTGAAATTGGCATATTCAATTCTCTTGCCGCTGTTCTCAAAGATTTCCTGGGACAGCAGGCCAATGCTTCTCGGACAAGCTCAACATCATCATTGCTTGCGCTGGGACGTCCGGAACATTGTTTGACACTGTTGACACAGGTGAGAGACATCGATCAACTAAAAACCAGAGTAAGAGACGCAATAATCACTGTGGATGTCGGTATGCTTGCCCGAACCTGGCAAGAAATTGAATATCGTCTTGATATTTTACGTGCAACAAATGAAGCACTATATTAACAATAGACACAATACTTTTTGAGTTTAACAATCCAACAATGTAACCAGTTTATTTCTATCTTCGTTATTTCCCGACTTATTAAAGATCAAAATGCGTCAGACCTTTTGTAGACACCCTGTGTACAATTTCTGCTTCCAGTACTTTTCTGTACCAAAATACCTCTATCTGCAATTAATACACATTTAGGTCAGTGTGATGTACAAAATATCAATCAACAAATTCAGAAAATATACTTTCTCTGTTATAGTTTACCTTTCTATTCTTGTTATGAAATCAAATGCTGTAGATCTAACTACAGCAACTGAGATATAAAAAGGTAAAGTTCTCCCTGTGCTTAACCAATTAAGCATGACATCATGTAGAGGTATGAGGGAGTGGACATTTAAATCAACAAATTCTTGACTTCAGTACTAGCTGGAGGCGAATGGTCAGCTTCACATCATGGCTGCTTTACTCATGGGTGAAATGGCCCTGGTACCCATTGGACAGGAAGCTGGGTGGGCTCCAGAACTGGCTTGGATTATCTGGAGAGCAAAAAAATCTTGCCCCTACCAAAATAAAATCAAAATCTTCAGCTGTTTGGACCACAGCCAGTCACTATACTGACTGCGCTATCCCGGGAATCTGAATGGTTAGACAGTGGTGCACTTTCATAAAACAGAAATCTATTTTAGAACCAGTGTATACCAGGAGTCATATGTACTGAAGTAAAACTGTTCCCTAAAATGTGAAGTTGGAATACTTCTTTAGCTACTGTAACACTCTTCAGTGACTTCACTAGCTACTGCTAAAGGATGAATATATTGTACATGAAAATAATGACATACTGCATTTCTAAGTTCTTCTACTTTATTTCACGACAAATATCATTTCCTGTTAATGAGACTACCCGCTCTATATCTAATTTCATGGTTAAATGATCGTTGCAATACTGGACTCTTACTATATTAACCTCAAACCTCTGGCCCTTACCCTTACACATGACATAATTGGAAAACTTTATCCTGTATGACAATTAGGTTATACAGTAAACTTCTGAATACCACAGCAATTGAGGGAATAAGTAGCATGGATAATTACTTGTAAAAATAATGGATATTCCAAAAATCTGGAAATAACCAATATCCATGCTGCTTTCAACCCTGAAAATCACTTAATTATCAATTATTGGTTGTGCTACTAGTCATTAGACAGTGGGACAAATATCTTCCCAACAGAAGAAAGCAACACTTATTCAGTGGAGACAGGCAAAGGGCAGAAGCAATAAAACAGAAGATTGCAAAAGGGTATGAAGACATACAGTCTACTGAAAATCACTGTAAAGCGCCATTGATATCCATTATTGAAACAGACATAATAGCTAATACTTATCATTATGGAAAGCTACAATCATGTAACCAAGAGATATGAGAATGTCCTGTGGTTATCTGGCAAAGCAGATAATTGTGAGTCTACTGCATAATAACTGTATGCAAGGTACCGTCTACAGCCTATAGATCTCACCCTATGCTTGTAGGAGGTGGTGTGGGGGTGGAACGAGATGGTAGCACAGGTGAACTCCATGGCGGCACCTTGTGGAGAATGCTTGGTGAAGCGGAGTGGTTCCTGCTTACTGGCCCCATGGAGCCAGTATTTCCAGTCCATGGATTTGCAGCAATACTGTTGTTATTGTTGTTGTGATACTTGACAGAATCTGTGGGCTCAGCAGATGACACAACACCACTGGAAGTAGAGGCTGGAAATAACCCGAAACTTGAGAATACCTTACAGAACTTCTTCAGACAGTTCAAGAGAAAATGGAAACAAACCATTTCCCTTTCTCATTCTGGCTTGGTTCAAACAAGAAAATTATCCTCAATCTGTTCAAATAATATAATATTTCAGGCTTTCACAATGGTTCAGTACTGATGATCATGTTTTAATACTGCTCCGATCACCACAGGAACCTGCAAATATAATTAAAATGTCATATATCATTACTTTAAGAAATCTGTTATCTTGCAATTTTTCTTTTGGTAGAGTAACCCTCCTGGTTATCCAGCTCCAAACATACACAATTTTCATGCAACCAACAAAAATTCCAAAGAAAATTAACCATTTTTATAATGTAATTTCAAAAGCAAAGTTGTGATGAGAATATGTTTACATGCAGTAGTTCTCCCCACCAAAAATAGCAGTACTATGTACTGTCTTCCACTGTGCAGGTGCCATTATCGCACAGGCTAGATAAATTTGTTATCATGCTGCAGTATATCCAAAATCCTTCACCTATGAATCAGCTATGTCACCTAAGAAGACTCCTGCACAAGAAGTAAAGTGTTAGTAGATTCTAAAGGTTTCTGACAATGGTGTATAACACTCAGAATTACTGGGGTTCTGGACTTTGTCCATCGTCCACTATTCCAAAAACTAGAAAACAGTTTCTAGAATACCAGATGACGAACAAAGTCCAAAACCCAGTAATTCTGAAAATGTGTTCTGACTTTGTACTGGGTTACTGAATGAGCTTTTTTTTTATGCAACTGGCATACACCATTCCCAATATATGCTGGACAACCAAGACTTTATTATATAACACAATGTATTATTAAAAAGTAGGGGCTCTCAACAGAACAAGATACACAAAAATATCTACAAGGGTTGGATAAAAAGTAGTGGCAACACTGCTGTAACATGAAAGATGTGTGTCAGGTGGCACTAGCGCCGTCTGTAGCTGATAGCAGAAGTTCAGTTGAAGTAGTGCAGTGAGTAGCTCTGGTTGTGTTTCATTGAGTTGCACTGCGCATCGTCTTGAAGTGCAGGAGTCCAGTTCAAGAACCCTAACAAACATGTTTATGAAAGAAGAACAACACTCCTGGATAAAAATTGAAGTTGCACGAGGTCGTGGTGCACAAAACTGTTACCAGGGACTGTGAGAAGCATGTGGTGATGCTGTTTTGCCATATCGCACAGTGGCACGGTGGGTGAAATTGTTCCATGAAGGGAGGGATGCCATTCAGGACAGCCGTCGTTCAGGACGACCTCATGTTGGCAACCACACAATTCAGCTTCTTGCTTCTTTGCTGGATGTCGATCGTCGATGGGCTGCATGGGAGTTAGCTGCTGAGGTAGGCGTATGTCACAAAACTGTGCTCCACATTCTGCATGATATTCTTGGATACTGCAAAACTGCAGCGCGTTGGGTACCCCATACAATGTCCGAGGTGCAACAATGGCAAAACACGCAACCAAACAGGGAACACACAACACGAGACACGATATACACTGAGAGTGTAGTGGTGGAACTATGCGCGGTGTTAGAATTGGGACAGATAACATAAATTATCTTAACAAGTTTTTAGTATATAAATATTTATTATAATTGATGAACTTTTTAAATACTTTTATGGCAAGCAATGAAATGGATTAACGTAAATGGAGCACCTGATGATGGCACTATAGTGCTGAAACATGTTGTGAAATAAAAAGTGAAACTGAGTGCACTGAAAGACGGACACTGCATACATATCATGAACAAAAATCAGTGCAACAGGACGCTAAAATACAACATTAACAATGGCAATGTTATGCAATTGCACATGTCTTGTTGGACCAGTACCAGAGGGAAGGTGACGACTTCCTGGGGAGGATCGTCACTCTGGACGAAACTTGGGCTCGCTCATATGAACTGCACTTGAAGCGACAATCAAATGAATGGAAGCATCCTGGCTCGCCTTGTCCAAAGAAAGAGCGCCCTACACAGAGTAATGTGAAGGCGATGTTCATTGTGGCATATGACACTGATGGAGTGATACTGCACCACACTGTACCTCAACAACAGACAGTAAACGCTGCCTACTACTGCAATTTCCTGCGTAATCATCTTCGTCCAGCACTTGGGAGAAAGTGACGACACTTGTTGGCAACGAACCCCATCATCGTTCATGACAATGCAAGGGCTCATACTGCTGATGCTGTCAAGGATCTCCTTCGCCGCTGGTGATGGGAGATACTACAACATCCGCCATACTCACCCGATATGAGTCCATGTGATTATGATCTCTTTGCCAAAATGAAACCACCACTGTGAGGGACACGTTACAACACAAGAGAGGAGATTACTCATGCTGTAAGGCGGTCACTGCTGGACATCAACAGAAATGGACGTGCTGATAGTGTACGACATCTTCCACAAATTTGGCAGGTGGTGGTACACATGGGGGGCGATTATATTGAAGGAATGTAAGTGTGTTTACCTCAGGTAATAAAGTCATTTCAGAACTATAGAGGCGTTGCCACTACTTTTTATATTACCTATGTATTTTAGTTTATGCAGGGGTGATCTTGTTAAGCTGGAAGCAGTAGATCAAATGGGTCCTCACAGAGCTACAAGAATAAATCGTGTTGAAATTTCAATGACATACTGTTAAGAACAAATTTGTAAAGCACAATAGATCACTGCAGGTCGCGGTGCAAGGGCCGAGAAGGCCCACCCCTTATACATTCATTCATAAGAACAAATTTCATCAAAAAACTAACCTTTCAAAAGTTCTGGAAGTCATCTACTTTTATATTGAGACTCTGAACTTGATGGAATAACTGTATCCTGCTGCTTACTTACTCCTTGTCTCTATGGCTCTCTAAGAACCAAGGCATCCTTAATAACAGATGTTTTTCTTCCAGGTTATATACAATATATCATGCTGCTATTTACATGAAATGTCTTCAGCGAATGTGCTTATAAAAGAACAATCTTTGTCAAAAATACCTAACCTCTCTTTTTCTTCAATTGGTTACCGAGCGCCAGTGGCCACTATCTAGTGCATCAATGAACAACTGATATATATATATATATATATATATATATATATTTCTTCGAGCCACAACTTCACCAAATATAAAGTTGGTGGTGACTTGGCCTTTATATGCAAAACAATGCTAAGAGAGTCTTTATAACTTTCAGTAACAGCCATCATTTAAACATTACCACCATATATTCCACTTTCTTCCCATGTAGGCCTACATTTTGCAATTTTTTCTTGGATTAACATGCTGCACACATTATTCTGAATGGCCTCAAAACCAACAAATGGATGCAAACTTTGAAAAAATGCAATTCCCATTTCAAGCTAAAATTTTCCCTCTGATAATCAATTCTCATACACATTTTAAATCACAATTGAACCAAATATGTATGCTATCAGCAACTGAAATTTATTTGGGGGGGGGGGTCCACACAGAATTGCATCCATTTATTGACTTCATACTCAGACAGCCACAGTATAAGTAATAGCAGACCAAGTGCACTTGGAAATAAGTTCTGCAATTAACTGTCACATGTAATTACTGACCTGGTAGTGTCTGTGTGTCGTTTGGAGTGGAAAACAGCTGTTTTGCTACACTTTCTGCAGATGACACTGGATTTGATATGTTAGTTACCTAGAGTAAACAATTAAATCTATATCACAGGATAGTGATTTGTGAAGCAACAGAGTTGTATGCGATATCTCTAAGATAATGTGAGAAACTTACTTCTTTCCCCTAACAGGAATAAACAGAAAAGAATATACTGAAGGGCCCTGATGTAATGTTTCTTTCATAATAAAAATTTAATTTCTGAAGCTAAGTCCAGCTTATTTCCTTCCTAGTTACTTTTTTCAGAACACCTCTGAAGAGTGACATTGTTGTGTAAAAGGTAAAGTTGTCCCTGTACTTAATTAGTTAAGCACTATGCCTTGAGGACATATGGGGAAGTGGAGGTATAGCACCACCATTCTTGACCTTGGCACTAGATGGAGGTGAGTGATCAGCTTCACATTCCAGCCACTTACCCTCAGGTAAAGAATCCCTGGTGCCCACTGGATAGCATGCTGGGTGGGCACTAGAGACAATCTGATTGCAGTGAAGAGAAAAATCACCTCCTTATTGGGAATCAAACATTTGCTGTCCAGCCCACAGCCCCTTGCTATACCCACTGAGCTATCCTGACTCCTGACAGTGTTCTGTATTTCACAGAAATGGATGATGATGATGATGAAGGAGGAAGAGGAGGAGGTGGTACCTGTACACATAACACAGTAGAATGCCGATTATCCGATTTATTTAATTATCTAAATTGCCAATTAACTGAATCACCTCAACCAAAGAATAAGTCTGTTAAACAAACATTATTGTTAAATCTTTTCAAATAAAGTGTTCAAAAATGTTAATGTACAATTACATTTATTAATTTTTCATATTTCATCCATTTTAAAAGTTCTTTACCTTTTATTATTATAATAGTACAGTACATTATAAAGGTGCTTTTTTTTTCTGGATAAGAATTTACTCCAGTTACTACCTCTGTCACATATTAATTCAAATAACTGGCATTTTACTGCATATACACTTCTACAAGTAGATTAAATAGCGAATATGTTTACAAGGAATATGAAGTGTAATTATAAGAGTTTGGAAATACAAAGAAAATAATTCTGATCGGTCACAAATTTAATTACACTATAATAATTACCAAGGGTAATTATTTAAAGACACCTCCAATAGTTCACATTACATAAGAATTAACACTAATATGATTAGTGATTAAGGAATTGTAGAAGATACCGATGGAAGAAGTCATACCCATACCAGCATTTTTTAGGAATCGAGTAAAACCACATCAAACTTGAGTGAGAATAATTCACCTCTGGGCCAAGATTTGAAACTGGGACTTCCTGAATAAGAAGCACAAGTGCTAACTACTGCAATGTTTGCTCCAGAGGGTATTTAGTGACTAGGCTTATAATATAATTCTTGCTGGTGAAGATTAACAGACAGCAGGGTAAAAAAAGTAACTATAACTAATGTCTTTGTCAAGCCACAAAAATTAAAAACAAATGTGTTCACACATGTTTCACGTACAATGAAGTCAACATAAATAAATTTATAGCAATAACTTATTTCAGAAACTAGATAAATATATTTTAATGTTTTGTTTTGAATTTACTTAGTTCTGTGTGGCTGTTCTCTTGGCTAGAATGACAGAGGCATCCTTAAAAAGAGAAAACTAGGACACATAAAGTTTAAAATAAACCAGGTCACTTCTGGCAAACATTCTGTGTGTGGCCATTGACTGCTTGCTGGTCTAAAAGTTTGCAGCTCCTACATTATACATTCTATGCTTATTCATAGAGATTTATGAAAAGTAATGCCATGACTTACGTTTCGAGGCAAGTCTGTCAGAAAATCATCATTGGATGAGAGAAGTGACAGACCTTGAGATAACTGTTGACACATAGCACTCACAGAATCTCCACCCTTGTCACTTAATGGAGATGATTCAGGAATGGGACTCACTGCAAATATAAAGCAGCAAGGTAAAAGTTTAAAAATGTCAACAAAGGAGTGAAAAAATGAAACAGCTGTTTGTATGACAAGGATGAATGTATAATTTCTTAATCTGTGTGATCACACATGAAGGATCTATTTTATAAAGTAATATGTAGCCTAACTATTTTATGCTCAAAATTAACGAACTGTATTGTGAGTTAATCCTATCATCACATGTGTTTGAAGAGAGTATATAAATGCATGGCACAATCTCCACGTTCCTCGCTCTCAAAGCAATGAACAATTTCACACAACAGTTTCAACCATTACTATTCACGTAGGCACCAGTGGACTTCACACAGTGAGCGAGTTTCAAATTGCCAGAAAATGATATCCTATCCTTAAAATGATCTCTAAAAAACTCTTGTTGAGCAGGCTTGGTATAAGTATACAACTACACAACAGTTCTCTGGTATTCAGGAGAAATCATTACTTCTTCCACATACAGTAAACTCCTTGTTATCTGGGATGTATGGACAAATGGGCCTGCCAGCTGCATAAGATAAGATTTTACAAAAACCAATACAAAGTCAAAACAGCATGTTACTGCCATTATTTTTGCATGGGAGTCTTTGTAGGTAAGATAGCACATATACATACCGTAATATAACTACAAATTCACCTAGTCTCTACTTTAATGGCACTGGCATGAGGGAGGTAGTGCAGCACTGCTAGTGGGCAGTTGGGAGAACTACTGCATGGAGGGTGAACATATGGAAATCCCAAATTTGTTTTTGAACATCTTCATTAAAATGGTAGTTTTCTTTGAAACTGTTCTTGTGAATAAGAATTCTGGATCCTTGAATATCAGGTAACTGGGAGTTTACTGTATACAATTTCATTTCATTTCATATCCTGTTACTCATCTGGTTCTTTAAATTGCTCGCCTGCACCAAAAGTTTGTTTCATATTCACACACATTTATTATAATGACTTATTAGGCATTTTTAAGCTAGTACACCAAAGATGTTGCATATGTGTTTGTGGAAGATAGGGCTACTTGTGTAAATCTGATAGCTAAACAGTCAGAAACACAGAGGAAAACACCATATTACTATTCAAGTACATTGTTAAATCCACTTTCATATTTGAAAATGATAAATGAACTTTAAATAATTTGATATAAAGAGTACGATTCCTACACATCTAAATAGCTGGCTGTGATGACAAATAAAAATAAGAAAACGGGAATGTGATTGAATTTAGCAGCCGAAGTTTTATATAACTAAAAGTTCCTTAGCTTCGTGTTTCTTAGATTAACTTCATTGAGGCACATGAATAATATCTCAAATGACATTCGATTAATGACCTTGCACTGTTCTTTTAAGAATCTGTTATACTCTATTATTTGGTAAATTTAATTATTCCTTTCTGAAAGGACAATAAAATAAAATAAATCCTACAGTAACATTTCTAACATTTCTTGTCACAGTTACATTAAGCGTTTTAATCTGTATTCACACTGACACAAGACAAGAAGAATGATAGAACTGATACTGCAATCTAACTATCATCAGTGAAAGCAATATAGGACACTTCTCTTACACAATACATGCAAGAAAATTCAGATCAATACAGCTGCTCTGAAAATGCACATGCAAATGAGTATCTCAAAAACAGATGAATGGCCATTAAAACACATTCCATCTCCATCTAGCTGGAGTAACTGTATCAAAAACAAACCATGGTTTGTTTATGTTGCATTGGAGACAGAAACAAGTGGACGATTGATGTATCAATGCAATACGATGATAAAATGTAATATTATGAAGGTTGTCTTTTATTTCATACAAATATATGTAGGTTTGTTATTTAATGAGACTGTAAGTATCCAGACCATACACAGTAAGCAAATAAATGTATTTAATTACAGCTTTATTTATACTGATTTCCATACATGGTCATGAAAACTTATGAGATATATATATATACAGTACTTTCAGCTGTTATCATGAAATACTGTTATTCAAAGGACAACTGGAAGTAAAGAAAATGGAAGAAAGTATATCAATCCTGGAGACTAAATAAGAATTCAATAGTAACTACTACCAGAACAGCTTTATTTTTTCTAAACTCTGTGAATAACAGAACATAATGTAATACTAACGGTGGTGTAAAATTCATTATTTTATGTTTACTGTACTATGAAGCATAGACCACACAGAGAATTTTGTGGAAGCAAGATAAACACAGAAGTTAACCCTTATCCTTATTGCACAATTTGATTTTCCATTTCAGTTCCCACAGTATCCATCCCAAATAGTCTACAGCAGCCCTGTCCAACGCGGCGCCCGTGGTATATTTTTCTGGTACCCTCCGTAACCACATATAATTGGGCCGATTTTTAATATTAATTCAAATTGTAACACAATAGACATTTTTCATCGTCTGAGTACTGTTAAATATTTTCGAAAAATTTTATTATTATTATTGTTATTATTATTATTATTATTATTATTATTATTATTAGTAGTAGTAGTAGTAGTAGTAGTAGTAGTAGAAGTAGTGTGCGGTAGTGCCCGCACCTCCATAGGCATCAGTGAATTGTGCCCGAGTACATAAGAACGTTGGACAGCACCGGTCTACAGCATTAACTAACGTTTTAGCAATTGCAATGAATGACTTAAGAATTTTAAAATATCAAAATATAAGCACAATTCACATTGTGGATCTGTGGGTTATAACACCAAGTAATCTGGTAGGTGGGTACTAACACTCTGAATGAACACATTACCTCCATACATCTCACCTGAAACAGGAGGCAGCAAGTTTCTCTGAAACATTCAAAACCACATACCAGATAATGTGATGTCATAACTAAACAGACCACATTATGAATCTTCACTGCCATAAAAACTTCTAACCTCATTTATGTGAAAGTAACATCCATAACCATTATGCCAATTCAATGTTTGGCTATGTTAATTTAACAAAGTTAAGTAGTATCATAGTCACAAAAAAATCTTCGAGTATTATCTCATTTACACTCTTATTGCAAACAAAACCCTTCATTAAACTCTATGGGTCAGAGTGTCTCCTAGCAACAGAATACCATATTTACTTCTCTTCTACTTTATATTTCTGAGCACCTCTCACACAAATTTTGATACCTTAATTTAAAGTACTAATTAATGAGAGCAAAATCCAAACTGGGAAGATCCCAGTCTTCATAAGGCGACGTGCATGAAAATTCAAGGTCATTACAAAGTGATACTTATGGATTTTAATATACAAGATTATAATATTTATGTTTATTGTGCTCATCTAGTAGATCAAGTTATGCAAACAAATTTGATATGTATTTATTCTTCTGTTGCAGTAATTTTTTAACCTGTCATATCACAGTAGTTTATTACTAATATTTTTAAGTTCATGTTAAGTCTGTTTACAATTTTAATTGGGGATAAATCCAGTAAGTTGTAACTTATTCCTCTTTAAGGATACAGTCCTTAAGAGGGAGGCTTAGCTAAAATCTTCACTTACCCAAAATACAGAAATAGAAATACTTTTACCTTTACTCCAATAGAAATTTGAAAAACTCAGAAGATTATACAAGGTGTGGGAATACACATACAAGAGGAGAACACTATGTGCCAATTCAGTCTTGGTCCCTGCAACCCTTATACATTCTCATTAGTAATACTAGTCAGTCTAGTTATGTCTTTCAACCTGAAACTGGAAATATGATGATAATAATGTTTAGATAAAGGAAAGAGCTGTATACACTTCAGTGACAGATATGAAGTTCGTCTCTTGCTTACAGCTGTAGTTAAGATTTTTAATACATGACTCAAGTAACTGAGGGAATGTACTGTAACTCCGATATTTCAAAATCACAATGTTATAAAATAATTTCAGTACTGGTCTGTGTTCTGGGGAGCGCTGAAATATGAATTTTGAATTGTAATGTCACCAGGATCCCAATCCATGCAATGAGCTTGTAAGAAAATATTGCAATCAGAATGCTACTATATTACTGTAAAAAATACAATGAACTATATTATATTGCATGCATGTGCTACATATCTCGCTTCTACTGTAAGCAATACATGCAAGAAACTTTGGAAACACAGTATGAGGCACAGCAGAAAGTCTGACCAACCAATTTATTGACTACTAGTATGCCAGTCTTCAGGAATGTCACTGCAACTCAGTTACAAGAAAACAGAAATACATTCACCATCTAATCCTCTGTAGCAAACACTTACTGTTAAGAACTGAGGCATCCGATGTGTTAGGGAGAGATTGCAGGCGGTTCCTCATGACCCGAGGAGGAGGCTGAGGGCTTGCTGCAAGGACACATACACACAGAGAAACAAGGGCAAGCAAGCTACCACCACACTACAAGTGACAGCACTACACTATGCACCATAACTAATACAGGTTTTTCATTCCAGCCACACTTTGAAAATTTAACCTTCATCATCCATTACTGTCTATTTGTTTGTGTAATAAATGCCACCAGAAGAAATACATTCATGGCCTAGTGCTTACTGGACAGCTGCATCTACTTGTATTATGTGAGCTCACTTCCGAAGTTGCATGGCAGATTTTTAATTTAAACCAAAAGGGTACTGACACTACAGCAGCGGGACTGAGTGGGTTAGCTCAACTGTTAGAACTCTTACTCATATCAAAGAAATTACTGTTTAATTTCAGCTGAGAACAAACACTTTCATCAAAATCTTTTTGTGGCACCTTCCAACTAATTATCCATGCCATCCTGCCACATCTAGAGAATCCCCTACATGCTACAGTATCGTAAAATAAAAAGCCTAGGGAACAAACATACTAGATGGCTAAAAAAGTCATGTTGTTGTAAAAATAAGGTTAAGGTTTTGTGAATATGAATTAAACTGATATAAGCTGAGTAGAACATACTGTCGTGTGTTGGGTGTATAACGCGACAAATAACTTCACGCCGTATTTGATATAGCGAATTTTATTTCACATTCGCACTTACAATCACCCAAATTACAGATTCACAATTACTGCTATCTGCAGTATTACAAATACTACACTGAAAATGCCAGAATACAACTGACTGGCTGCTGGCTATCTCGTAAATGCTGCCTTGAGAACTAGCTCGTAGGGTTGCTCGGAACTGAGAACTCGTAGGTAGCTGCCTTGAGAACTGAGAACTGACTGTGAATAGTCTTCGCTGCTCCGTATCTAGCCTCGTGCGGACAACGCAGAAAACAGCCACGTAATAGGCACCCTTGTTGCCTGGCGCCGTGTTGCTAGCAACGCTGTCTGGTGTTGTTTACTGTGCCTAGCAACCGCGGTATCCCGTGGTGAAGTCAACGCTGTTGACTCGCATTGCATAGCTACCAGGATGCTGGGACTCGGCTAACTTTGGCTCCGCTCGGCGCGTCACGGCTGGCGGGGGGGGGGCGTCCTCCATAGCTTAGCATGTCACAATACTTAAATGTGTCTACAGAAAGTTACATTCAGTTTGATGATTCACTACAAAGAAAAATATTTTCTATTTTGAATGTTAAAAAAATATTTTTATATAATTCAGTCAAGTGGTTTAAGAGAAGTAACAGTGAATAGGATGCCAATTTCCTTGCATTATGGTGTGAACTTGTATTTCACCTTGGTTGGTGGGTAACTGGATGTTATGCTGTGATACCAGAGGCCACATACATATTTTTAGTTCCTTGCTGCAGGAACTCCAGGGACTGAAATGGTTGCCTTTGGGTTTTGTACACTATCAGTTTAAGTCATTCAAAATATGATAATCCAACAGATTTAAATCTGGATAATTTGACTATCATTCTATGGATCTGACAAAATTAATTACTATGTCACCCAGCATTTTCAAACAGCATGTAATATGAATATAAAAATGTCCATTTTTAACATTGAAAATTCAAAACATTCTTCTGTGTAATGAATCAATCAAACTGAAAAAAACAATTTTTATACATAAAATAAACTCTCACTTATTTGGTATCCAAGCATCCAGAATTCATATTCAAAAAACAAAAACTTTAAAGAAAATGTACAACTTGTATCATAATGAACATATTAAGTGTTCAAGATATGGGAAATGGTCATCATGGATGGTTTCAATAATTTTTAAGGTTAAAATTTCACCTCGCAAGTAAATATAAAAACACATTTCTTGATACAGAAAGAACTGATACATTATAAATGATTACATACTGCTGCAAAAACAATTTCAAACTAGCACTGCTGCTGCTGTTGTGCTTATTCATAAAGAATCTGCCATGCAAAGACATATATGTAACAGTGTACATTTGTCACATTACTTATTTTGGTTGCTTGTTTTCTTATGAATTTGTAAGAGTAAGAGTTTTATTTTGCATATTTATCTGTGGGCAAACTTATCTGCAACCTGTTTCTCCCCAAATCTAAACTTAACCATTGCTCATTTTTAGAAACACTACCATACATAAACTGCAATGACATTATGAGTCCATAACTATGGTGGCATTCAATCTAATTACAAGGTTAATACACAAATGATCTTTTTTTTTCCCCTTGGCACTACAGCCCCAGTGGGCCTAGGCCTACCTCCATGAACTTTTCCATTCACTTCGGTTTTTCTAGATCTTAGACACATGGTAGGACTCCTTGGGCGGGTGAGCAGCTCGTCACAAGGCCTCTACCTGTACACAAACACAGAAAAACGCACACAAACATCCATGCCCTGAGTGGGATTCGAACCCACGATCCCGGCTTCCAAGCGAGCGAAGACAGTGCACGCCTTAGACCGCTCGGCTACCGTGACCGGCTCAAATGATCATTTGGGTCATATAAACCAAGACAGAACAGATGTTGAAGATCAAATATCCAAAATAAATACACAAACAACATGAAAACAAAGACTACATTGTGAGACTGAAACAATAACAACAGTAGACTGTGTAGCAAAACAGATTTACCTGCAATCAAATCCATGTCATTTACTAAAATTGAAAGAAAGATAAGTAACTCTGCTAAGTGACCCACTCATAATGAAACATTAGGCAAGCATTTCTAAGCAATCTTAATAAATCAGGTCTGAGAGGTGAAGTGTCCACAGAATCATACTGTTGTATCCTTTTTAAAGACAAACACAGACAGGTTTGGATTAGGGTCAATTTTTTTACATTCTCCAAACATACACTGTAGCTGTTTTTAGAAGTTTTCTTTTCTCTATAAATTTATTAATTCAAGCAAGAGAAAGAGGACTGGCAACCTTAACATAACATGAATATCATCCTCAAGAGGTCTATATTGGTGAATACCTGCAGTCAATTTTGGAAGGACGAGGAAATGCATAATCTGATTTGCACTTATTCCAGCACTCATTTTACCACTCTGTACTTACTCTGGGTACAGTTTTATTTTTTATTTCTGAGACAAAATACAACAATGCAGCATAGCGTTTTGCTTCGTGTAAATATTTTTAACTGAATATAAATGAATGAACAAAAACTTTATGTTTCCATGCTTTAAAGCACAGTAGCATAGTAGTATATTCATAAAAGGCCACATGACATCCAGCATTCCTGAGAATTTGTTTTAAAAAATTCTCCAAACCTGTCAATCACAACTACCATGTAACTTAACCTGCTAGGCTAAAAAAATGTTCAGAATAAAGCAATCTAATTTATTTTCCATTTCACTAATATTCATTATAATTTCTAATATTTATAAAACACAGAGGTTCAAGTGTAAATTTATTTTACTGTGATGCATACACAATTTTAAGAAGTACCCCATAAAACAAGCACAATTCCAAGTGAAAATAAGGTTTAAGTGCTGAAAGCTTTACAAAAGAGACATGTTTGTATCAACAGTTGTAATGTTTGTTTAGGCAGTGTTCTCTTCAAATCAGTCAGTGCTACCAACTGAACTGTGCCTCCATGTAAGCATTATGGACTGTGACATGTGAAACGTAAGACAGAAATATGGATACTAAGAAAAGCTGACACTTAAATGTTAGCAAGACACAAGTCATATTTAAAATTACACAAGATGAAAAAATAACAAAGAAGATATTTCTCTTGAGATCAACCACTGACTGATTGATTCTGGGGCTATTTAATGATACTATACCAACTGTACTGGGGCATGCGGTAGCGTAGTTGGTTGAGGCACTATGCTATAGGCCGGAAGGTCGCAGAATCGAATCCTGATGAGGTGGATTTTTTCAATTTACCTAATCCTTCTAGCCACACTATGGCCCTGGGGTCAACTCAGCCCCCATCAGAAATGAGTACCAGGAATATTCTTGGGGGTAAATGGCGGCAGGCGCGTAAGGCTGACAACTTTACCGCCATCTATAAGCCGACTGTCTAGAAAATGTGGGAACCTTGACATCTCACAACACCATGGGCCTCCACGGCCTGTTACAGGGATACCTTTACGTTTAGTTTTTATCAACTGCACTATAGTGTGAAATGGTAGGATGTCAAAAAATGAACTGGAGATGTTGATGAAATAATCATAACTTATTTTAAGGTACTATCCCAGTATATACCTGGAGGCCAGGAGTGACTGTCAAGAACTTCACACAGGAAGGCCCAAATCTGAACCTGGAGCTTCTATATACAAAACAACAGTGGTAGCCCCTCTACTGCAATGTGATGTTTGAGGATTCTTTGGTGGTGAATATGAAGATTATGGTATTCCGGAATTTGATATTGTATAGTTTGGTAGATATGTAACAAATTTCGGGGGACTCTTTCTCCTCAATCTTCAGGGTAGTAGGGCAAGCTGTCCAGGAAATGGAAGATAAAGATATGGAAAAGGCAGGAAAGCAACTGAAGCCACAAGAATCTAACAATTTATTTACTTTATTATTTTGGTATTAAATTAATGATAAGAGAATAAACATGACTCCAAAAAAAATGTTGCAAGATAAAAACTGGAAAGGCCTAGTTTCTTATCTACAGACCCTGAAAACTTGAATAACATCATTTGAATTTAATCATAAAATAGTCCAATGCATAATAAAAACAACTTTTAATTATGATTACTGGCAGTGACATCTGGAAAGCACACTTGAGAACTGTTCATAAGGAATGGAACAGGCCTTCTCAATGCTGTGTAAATTCAGTTTGAACTGCATTACATGCATTTGTGGTTAAATAATATGAGGATTATAATTTTCATACCAGCTGTAATATGATGGAATCGGATAAAAATGTGTGGAATTCAGTTGCGGTGCCCAATAAAATTGCCATAGCTACATAAAGTGACCAGCAACAACAGAAAAATGATGAGAATTGCTCAGAAATGGAATTTTAAGCACACAAAGGCCCAATCAATG